TAAAACGTCGCACGAACCTCCTAACGGACTCCTTGAACGTACTTTAGAGGTCCAAAATGGACGGTGTTGCGTTAGGGTTAAGGGTTAAAAGCTATGCGGATAATTATAACTAGTTACCTAACTATCATATTTTTGTCAATTGTGTTTATGTTTATATTTTAAGTACCAATACACGGAGAAAATAAGAACTGTTGCTCCAAAATTAAAGCTAATCAAGATCAATAAGGTTGTGAATTTTTTTAGGTATAAATTTAATTAGACCTCTTAGCTTAACAAAACTTGGAAACAAGTATATTATTACAATTACTGATCATTAAAATAAATATATTAAAAACTTAACAACTTATATTACTACATAGTTCTATAGATTTGGTACTCTTCAAAAATCACTTTGAGATCAAGGTAGAGGGCTTGTTAATAGTTTAAATGAACTTTTTCTCTCCGTTTGAGATCAAACATTTGATAAAGTCTACTTATTTCCCTCAAACCAATCAACGAGGCATAGTTTGCTATGCAAGATTTGATATTAACTGGTAATGGTAAAGTTTAGAAGAAAGCTGTTTGTTAATGATAGTATCATTAAAAGAAGGAGCTGTAAAAGTTCAAAATTTTCTAAAGTTTCTTATGCAATTTCTGTTGCCACTAGTTTTTATTCTAAATTGTCAATGCAGTCCAAAGGCAAAGCCTTAGATACTTCAATAAACCCATCTGGCTGGCTAGACAACACCTTGATTTATATAGCACAAACTTTCCTGAAATATCTGGGTGCGGATTCACAAAACTTTCGTAACTCTTGCGTAACTTGCAATATTCGTAAGTTCATTTCTTTTTTTCGTAACTATTTGGTATTCACAAGCGTTGCACAGCGCTTGCGTAAAAATAAGGCTGCGCATAAGTTACGCTTAACTTACGCAAAAAATCTATCAAGTTAGATTTAAAAGAAATATCCATACGTCTACGTTTTTAACTCAAATAAACAAGGAAGTATAAATGTATCAATTAAGCATTAGTCTTTTTTAAAAAGTTTTAACTATTATATATACTAAACTAATTTTTTAATTTCTATAGGAAAATAAATTTAAACTTGACAAAAAATTTTAAAACAAATATCCCATTTTTGTTTATAATAACACTTATTTCAGAAACTTCATAAAATTTGTGATGTGTAAGAAGCATTAATTTAAAGTTGTTTTTTTTGTTTCCTTAAAACATTTGTATCCTTTTATTAAACTTTTTTTTCTACACATACAGTATTGTGCAAATTAATTGCATCAAGCTAAAAACAACTGTAGAACTTAGTTTATTACAGTTTTGGTAATACCAGTTCATATCTAATACTTAATATGTCCTCCCCGTAATGCAATTACACTTTGCACACGCTGTGGCATAGAATATACCAGAGTTTGGCACAAGTTCTTCAATTCTTCATCATGAAACCAGATTTCGACGATAGCCTCTATCAGCTTCGGTTTACTGGTACAGTCGCGAGTTCTAAGTCTCTTCTTAACTATACCCCATAAATTCTCAATAGGATTAATATCAGGTGAATTGCCTGGCCATTTTAGAGTAACAACTCTGCAGTCTTTGAGGAATTTTGTGACTTTCTTTTATGTGTGACACTGTGCTAGGTTATGCTGAAACACCCCGTCACCGTCAGGGAACTGCTTCGTCATCTCTGGTATCAGTTTTCTCGTCAGAACATCAGCATAGCCATTGGAACCCAGCTGCTGTGAAACACCCCCAAAACATGGGGTGTTTCACAGCAGCTGGGATGTTTGACATGCTGCTCGATGTGACCTTCACGTATTCGCTCTCCGATTGATCTGCGAACAAACTGTGACCACTGTCCTTGGACCTCAAAATAAGACTCGTCTGAGAATATCACCTGCAAATAAAGCAAATATGTAAATTAAGTGATTATAAAGCTTGATATTGGGTTAGAAATGTTTTTACCATACACTGTAGGATTACCAATATGGTACTCAAAAATGCCTGCAGAAGGACAGACGAAGAAAAAGACTTTCTACACAGATTATGTGAAACAATTCACATCGTACCTTTGTCCAGTCATCTTTGGTCAATTGCTTATATTTCTTGGCCCATTCCAATCTTCTTCTTTTCAAAGCTGTTGTCAAAAGTTGCTTCTTGGTGGGCTTTCTAGCTGGCCGCCCTGCACAAAGCAGTCTCCGCCTAACAGTGCGTGAACAGACACTGACACAATGACTTCCAAGATTATTACTGAGCTGGGCACTTGTCTTCTTGGGGTTCTTCTTACTTTGCTGTAGTAGAAAACGATCATCCCTGGCTGTAGTCTTTCTCTTTCAACCACACCTGCCCAGTCGCTTTGGAGAAAAACCACCAGTTTCCTTGAACACTCGGCTGACGGTAGACTGGTTGAAATGGCGTAATTGTGCAATCTCTCTTTGATTTTTTCCAGAATGTTGAATCAAAGTTACGATTTTAGAACGTTTTCTAGGTGTTATCCATATTTGTTTACTTATGTTAAAGAAATAAAATAAGATCTAAATAAGAGCTCATATGTAGGTTTTTTGTCATTTTTTTAGCTTGATGCAATTAATTTGCACAATACTGTACTTGATCAAAATGCATTCTTTTGACACAAAAACAAAAAACGCGACTATTGGGGTTTCCGTAATAACTGATTCAATTAATAGATAAAACCAAAACTAAGACTTAACTAAAATCTTTTTACAACTAAAATATATCAAAACTTTTTTTAAAAATCAAAATTTATAAAATATGTCAAAGTCTTTGATTAGCAGACAAATCATTTTTTATTTGAACTCTTCTTTCGATACCAAGTCGATTCATCATCAATGTCGTTGTTATTAAGCTCAAAATCAACTGGATCTACTAAGCTTTTGGTATTACATATATTTTTCAGTATAACATAAGTAAAAGTTATGCTGCAGCACATTGTTGGGGTGTACTGTAATGCTCAACCACTTTTGTGTAAGCACCTCCAATGGTTTTTAAGACGACCAACACATAGTTCCACCTCACTACGTGCAAGTCGATGAACATAATTAAAATATTCTTTTTCTGGTGATGTTGATACACTAAATAGAGTTATCAAAACCGGTGACAAGCCATATCCAGAGTCACCAAAAAGAAAACCTGCAGCTGGATCTAACTCTAAAATCTGTTTCAGAATAGAATTTGAAAAAATAAATGCATCATGGCATGAACCAGTATACTTTATTACAGCATCTCTAAAATTGTCTTCTGGATCAACAGCAACTTGACAAGTTAAAGAAAGATATCATTTTTTAAGAGATACAAGTCAAAGTATAAGAAAATCTTTTTGTAAATGTTCTGCTTTCAAAGAGCTTACAAAGAAAATACAAAAAACATGTTGTTAAAAGGTTTTTAAAATTTTAAAGCATCAAGCATTTTTGTGATACTGAGGAAAAAACCTCTAAAACTATACCCACACAATATTAGTCTTAAAATGGTGTGAGAAAATTGTCAAAATTATACCCGGCAGGTATGTTTACACCAGGTAATTTTATCAATTAAACCTAATACTTTAAAATAAACTTATTTTTATTTACAATTATGACATAAGAAGGGATTTTTTTCTTTTACATATTTTGAATTTGTATACCAAACAGACTTTTTTTTTGTGTATTAACTTATGGATTATTTATCTAAGACACAATAAGGAAAATAAGAATAAACATTTAATTTTATTGAGAAATTTTACCTGCAAATATAAGCTGGCTTATCAGCCTTAGTGACTCCTTTAATAGGTACCATTGTACCATCAATTAGCCCAAGAAGCCCTTTAATGCCCCAAAATTGCAGGTACTTTCTTTTTATCTCAGTCATTTCCTCTTTGTTACTATACTACTTAACAAGGTGACGATAGTGTTGGATAAAACAATTACAAAACTCTCTAAGTATCCAACTAGTACTTGACTGGCTAATTCCTGAAGTGTCACCTACAATTATATAAAATTAGATGAAAGCCAGGAACAAACCTTATAAGTTTGGTATATATAAAACCTTGTCAATGAATAGTACTTTTTTGATTAAAAAATAATAATAATAAAATTTCAATTTTGGATTTAATAAATTTTACCCTCAACATCAATTTTGATATCTTAAAAACACTATCTTCAATATCAATAGAAAGAAATTATAATATTTATAATAATTGTAAAATATAAAAAAAAACTATAATATAAAAAAAATTAATTTAACACTTGAATTTGTAACCAGTTTTATAGTGCTTTATTTTTTACCAATTACACCTTGAAAACTGCCTTTTGCTAAAAGTCTAAGTGATAATAACACTTTTGTTTCTGGCAGAATTGAGTTATTTCATGCAGTTTTTGATGAAAAATTTTCATATAGAGTTGTGATATTGTCATTTTTCACGACACTCCACATCATCATACTCTTCCAAGAAAACTTGATGAGCTTTACGCTAATTTTGATGTTGGCCTTGTTCAGCTAGAATTATTGGAATATCCATTTTAAATAAATAAAAAAGTGTACTAAACTAAATATAGATAACATTCCATAAATCTTAATTAAACAAATTTAAAACTAATAACCAAACTGGTTGATTGAGTGACAAAATTTTTTTTTATCTTTAAATAAAGTTTTTTTAAAAAACTCTTGACTATAAACCTGTAACTAATGATAAAGTTACATTGTTATAAATTGCTTCATAATGATTTATGTTAAAATTAAAAAAAGTAATATGAAATTTAATTAATTGACAAAAATATATAATATAAAATTTAATATAAATTATTTTATTATATATATATATATATATATATATATATATATATATATATATATATATATATATATATATATAATGTATATAATATATATATATATATAATATATATATATATATATATATATATATATATATATATATATATATATATATATATATATATATATATATATATATATATATATATATATATATATATATAAAATGAAATAACGTTCAATAATATAATGTATAATGAAATAAGGTTCAATAAAGTTGGAAGTTGAAAGTGATACATGGTACTTTATGGGACGTAGTGGGTATCAAACTTGGACTTTCTTGTTTAAAAAGCAAGCTCTCTGCCACAACAGCACAACTATTACTGTTACCACTACAACTATTATTTATATCACTAAAGTTGGTAATTCTTACAAACACCTAGACATCACTCTTCAACAATAATAAAAATTGGAATATAGATTTTTATTGTCAGAGTGAACAGTTGAAGTTACTTTGCATTTTCCTGCATCTGAACTTGTTTTTAAAATATTTTCAATAATATTGAATTTCTCAAATGAACTTATATGTTTTTTTTTCATGTTGTCAATATTCAAACTAAACTCCACGTTGTTCGACGTTTTTAAGCTTATCAAGGATTTGGGCTAGCGAATCTTGAATCCACCAGAAATTTTTCTGCATATCCAACAACGCATATTGAAAATCTAAACAAAGAATGAAATCAAAAAAAATAATCAAAAAGCAAAAAGTAGATACATGGGCATATTTATGTATCTATAAGATACATGAATATATCCAAGATACACGAATGTATCTGGGATTTGATCATATTATCTATTTAGAGGAATGTTTTTTTTAGCAGTTTTATAACAATGGTTGCATGGCTCAACCGCCTTGCTGTTTAATCCAAACAACAATGTTATGCTGTTTAATCCACAAAACTAATAATAGACTTGCTGTTTAATCTCTTAATGAAAATGATTGAAAATAATTATAAATAAATTATTTTTCATGCAAATAAAAAACAATAAGAACAACAAAAAAACTCATGTAATTTGTCATCTCTTAAAACAAAACTCCACCTTCACTAATTTTCCTTAACCTCTCAATGCATTAACAACTTTCCCAAAAAAAAATCAAGCATTATAAAAAAATATCTACTTTCGCTTTTTTTTAACTTCCAACTTTATTGAACCTTATTTCATTATACATTATATTATTGAACGTTATTTCATTATATATATATATATATATATATATATATATATATATATATATATATATATATATATATATATATATACATATATATATATATATATATATATATATATATATATATATATATATATATATATATATATATATATATACATGCATATATATATAATATAGCGGCATAAAGAAAGTGCATACATGCATATATATATAATATAGCGGCATAAAGAAAGTATACACCATTGAGTTTTGCATACATTTATTATTTTAAGCAATTAAAAACACTGTAATATGTTGCAAACACATTTTTTATTTATCAAAATCATCAAAAACAACACTCTGTATCAAGAACATGCAGTTTGATCAATATTTAGTATGGTAACCTCGCGCTTTAATAACATGTTTCATACGGTTTGGCATTGACTCTAACAGGCGAGCAATTGTAACATCATCAATATTGTTCCATGCATCTTGCATAATTAACCAAAGACTATCCAAGTTAGATGGTCTTTTTCCTTCAATGTTCTTTGCCATAACGCTCCACAAGTTTTCAATCGGATTCATGTCCGGGCTCTGAGCAGGCCAATCAAGCACTGCCACCTGATTACGCCAAAGGAAATCTGTGACAGTCTTGGCCTTGTGGCATGGTGCATTGTCGTGCTAAAAGAAGAACGAGTTAAGTTGCCCAAACAGTGCACTAGCAGAAGGAAACATTGTGTTCTGTAGTACATCAATGTACTGGTGTTGGTTCATACTTCCAGTACATCGATAAAGGTGCCCAAGCCCATAGCCAGACATACACGCCCAAATCATTAAACTCTTTCCTCCATGCTTGACAGTTGACGCAATACAGTTTTTACTGAGTTTTTCACCAACTCTTCTTTGCACAATTACTCGTTTGGAACTAAGGAACAACTCGAAAGAACTTTCATCACTGAACAGGACATGTTTCCAATCATCTACTGTCAAGTCTTTGTGTGCTTTGGCAAATGCCAATCGTCGACGAACGTTTGTAGCTGAAAGCAGTGGCTTCTTTGCAGCCACACATCCACGAAGACCTGCTTTCAGAAGGTGCTGACGTACAGTTCGAGTTGCCAGAGTAACCCCATGTTCTTCAGAAAGTTTTCGACCGAGTTGAGGGGCAGTGAGTCTACGATCCTGCAAGGACATTCAAACTAACACTCTGTCAGTGTGTGGAGTTGTTTTCTTTGGTCTTCCAGATTGCCTCTTATCAGCTGTTGAACCAGTTTCGATATGTTTATCTATTATTTTCTTAATACCCATTGGTGTTGCTTTAAGTTCTCTGGCTATTTTTCTTAAACTTGCACCTGTTTCTGCCAAGAACACTGCGCGAAGTCTTTCTTCTGTTGTCAGTCGACGATATTTGGGCATACCTTCAAATATAAAAATGAATAATTACACAAAATTTATCAGACAAATGGCCAAATATGAATAATGAAAAACCAAAGACATTAATTAATCAGTATTAGCTTAAACTAACAAATTGTAACTAAAAATTCTCTAAAACCCAACATGCATCTCAACAATGGATAATAATAATTTATTAATGACTTGGCCTAAAGTCAAAACTGGTCAGAACCATTTTGAAAGTTTTTAGGACAATAAAAAAAAGTTATTTGTTAATTGTTATTAAAAACTTAATTATAATAACAATACTATAACAATGTAAAACAATTACTAACATTGTCTTCAAAATTTGCACAATTAAACAATACAAAGTTAACTCTTTAAAGCTTAATTTTTAGTACACAACATGAGTCACACTTGCTATTGTAAACAGGAAGTGCAAAGTATATTGATTAAGTAAATTCACAGAATGCAATAATTGCTTCTATTATGTTTCTAAAAATAAGAAATACCACATTAAACTATTATTTTTACGATTTGGGTAGGGTGTATACTTACTTTCTGCCGCAATGGTATATATATATATATACATATATATATATATATATATATATATATATATATATATATATATATATATATATATATATATATATATATATATATATATACGTACTAATGAAGCTCAAGTAATATAAATCTTGGTTGAATCATTAATTATACAATAGACCAAGTGAACTATAAACAGCTTACTAGGTATGTTGTCCTCCTCATCTAAATATTAAAAAAAAAATTATTACACTCTTTTAGTCATTTTTGGACAAGTCATTCTTTCTTCAAAAATAGAGTGACTAGTTCAAAGAACCTTTATCATTAATTTCAAACTTTTTCGAAATTAATGTTTGTGTGTGTGGTCGGATCCAGACCATCAAGTAAGGGGGCAATTTTTCAGCAACCCTGCATATCTTTTTTATATAATTTTCGCTTAAATATTACTCTTTTCCTGTTATAACCTTATACTTATATTTAATTACTACTCTTTAATTTTTTAATTTTACTCCTTAATTCTAAATAAGCTAATCAGTGCAACTATGAAATGATGATCATATATTGGTATCTCAGTAGTAAAATTTAATTTTAAAAATTTTTCATGACTGAGATACCAAAGATTTAAAAATTGCGCGGGCACAACTTAATTAAATGACATTTAAATAGTAAGTTAAAAGTTTTAAAGCAAAAATAAATTTATAGGAATTTCTAAATTCAAAATTCTTTTTATTTAATTACCATGGTTTCTTCTTTGAAAAGAAAACATTACCACACATTTTCTTTTTATTATTTTACTTTTCATTTAGTTTTTTATAAATCACAAATCAAGTATGCTTTTTTTATAAACGGCTACATATACTAAATACAAAAAAATGTTTTTTCAAATAACGTAAAGGGAGGGGGGAGATCGCCCCTATTGTCCCTTCCCCCATTATGGATCTGCCCATGTGTGTTTTTGAAACAATAATATTGCCTGGCAAGTCATATAGCTTCTACAAGTTTTATAGCAACTACAACTATATTTCTATATATCTAAATCTTTACAGTTTATTGTGTATAAAATATCTAATAAATTTATATTGCTTACAAAGTTTATATTGATAAATAAAAAAATGTAGTTCTATTATTAGTATAAAGAAGTTCAAATTTCTTAATTTTAATTTTAAGTTAGATAGAGATTAAACTCATGGTCATGAGCTCACAAAATAAATTTTTTGAAGGAAAAATATTTCGCCTATTTGATAACCCTTTAAAGTCCATATTTGCTAATTAGATTTATAAATCTTAATAAACAAAGATTATTATATAGCTTTATAGTTAAACTTTAAGTTAGAATTCGATAACTATAACTGAATAGTTTAGTTTTTCAGCATAAAAATTGACATTATGTTTTTTAACCATTTTAAAAATATTTTACTTTCACGCATGCGTAAAAACAACTCATGGATTAAAGAATATACTTTTTTTGGATGCGGACGTCCAATGGCGTACTATTTTGGACTTGGACGTCCCAAGACGTTCTATTTTGTACTTGGACGAATAGACCTAAACAGTATGTCCTATTGAGAATAAACCTTACTATGAAACGCAGTTTTCTACAGCAAAAATTAAAAATAAAAATACAGGCTCCTAAACACGTAAAGATATTCAACTTTTCTTGAGTGTTCAGGATGTGTTCCGTCATATTGCTGAAACAGTGATTGACATTGAATTGAAGTATGGATTAGTGCAACTTGAGTATACTGTATGTGATCGAACAACGCTAAGACACAAAACCAAAGTTTTACAACGAATGTGTTCGAAAGCTGAAAGATGAACTTGCTGGGATTATTCATGTTGCAATAACAAATGATCACTGGACCGATGATATTTTAAAATAACTTTATCAGGCTTTTAAAGTATATTACATTAACAGCAGTTATTGCCATTTAAGTAAGTGTGATGGATTATTTGGCGCGGTGTTCGCTTACCCGTAAGTTACTTTATGTTTTTTATGTTTATTTGTGTTCTGTCTAAACCTCTGGCGCGGTGTTCGCTCACCCGTAAGTTACTTTATGTTTTTTATGTATGTTTGTGTTCTGTCTGAACCTCCGGCGCGGTGTTGATTCACCCGTAAGTTGATTTATGTTTGTTTGTGTTCTGTTTATTCTCTGATGGAGCGTGAGCTCAGTAACTAGCTACTTACTCCAACTACAAAACCTACACTCACCTTAGACTGCTGTATTTCGTTAGATGCAGTGTTTTTCCTAATGAACTTCCAAAATGTCATGCCTGGTTTTCTGTACTGTTAAGTACTGTTGCGGGAAGTAACTCCTTTTAACTACTCCAAGTCAGGTCAAGATAATCAAGATCTATCTTGCTACTGGTATTATGTAACCCATTACCACCTGCCGCAAACCCTGCTGCCTTTTAGAGTGCTCTCTTCTAAGGCAAAGGCTAGGAGAAATAAACTCCGACTAAAAATTCCCCTGCCTTGGGGCTCTTGGTTGAGTAAAGGCTAGATATGGTGTCTCGATAAAAATACTCATCTTGGGCAGATGTTAACTGCATCCAGCCACTGCCTTGTAAA